CAGCTGCAGTTATTGCATTCTTTGTGACAAGTGTTAGATTTGGGTTGCATAACACTGCCATTTAGCAGCTACATCTGCTCTTTGTCTCCAAAGCTCCCAACTACAAGTACTTTCTGCTGTCGGTTAGCGCTTATTTTAATGGAATTAGAGTAAGCAGATTAAGTTTTAAAAAAAAAGAAAGAAAAATTCAAAATATGAACATCCAAGTGGCAGCTGGAATAATTCTCGTTTGTATCAATCACTTCTGCAGTAGGTTGACCTCTGGGAGGGAAATCTTGACTGTGTAAAGTTTCTAAAACAACAAGTAGCAGGCAGCACTGAATGGACATTGACTTTGTTCCAGACACGAGACTAAGTTGCACAGGTACTAGCTCATTCAGTCTTCATACCCACCCACCAAGACAGCTTTCTTTCGCATGACAAGACTGAGTCACAGAGAGGTTACACTATTTACACAAAGCCATATAACTCAGAGTTGGCATAGCTTGCAGCACCGGCCAAGTTATACTGTATCTGAAATGGATTATATCGCCTCTCCAAAACACAGTAACCTTCACACTACAAATGTAGCAAACACTGTATGTGTATTAATAACTAACTTACAGGGGCTGGTGCTGTGGTGTGCTAGGCTAAGCCTCTGTCTGCAGCGCCAGCTTCCTATATATAGGTGCCAGTTCATGTCCTGGCGATTCCATTTCCAATCCAGCTCCCTGCCTATGGCCTACAAAGCAACAGAGGATGGCCCAAATCGTTGGGACCCTGCACCCAGGTGGGAAACCTGGAGGAATCTCTTGACTCCCAGTCTCAGAGCAGCTCATCCTTAGCTGTTGCGGAGTGAAGCAGATGTTTGGGAAAACCAAAAGATGGAAAAGCTTTCTCTGTCTCTCCTTCTGTCTGTAACTCTACTTTTCAAATAAAAAATTAATCTTTAAAAAAAACTAATTTATATTTAACCCTTTCATTATATTGTTTTATATAACATGGCCTTGTAGGATGAGATTTTTTTAAAGATCTATTTTAGTTTTATTGAAAGTCAGATTTACAAAGAGGAGGAGAGACAGGGAGGAAGATCTTCTGGCTGATGATTCAATCTCCAAGCGGCTGTAGTGGCAGGAATTGTGCTGATCTGAAGCCAGAAGCTAGGAGCTTCTTCTGGATCTCCCACACAGGTGCAGGGTCCCAAAGCTTTGGGCTGTCCTCGAATTATTTCCACAAGTATGGAGCATTAAGAAAAAAAAAAAAAGATTCTGCTTGGGGGCCCGGCGCAACAGCGTAGCAGCTAAAGTCCTCACCTTGAACTAGCGGGGATCTCATATGAACATTGGTTCTAATCCTGGCAGCCCCGCTTCCCATCCAGCTCCCTGCCTGTGGCCTGGGAAAGCAGTCAAGGATGGCCCAAAGCCTTGGGACCCTGCATCCATGTGGGAGACCCGAAAGAGGCTCCTGGCTTTGATTGGCTGGGCACCAGCCTTTGCGGCCACTTGGAGAGTGAACCAGCGCATGAAAGACCTTCCTCTCTGTCTCTCCTCTCTATTTTCCAATAAAAATAAATAATTTTTTTAATAATCCCTTGTTTGAGTCTTAGCTGCTCCACTTTCAATCCAGCTTTCCACTAATGTGCCTGGGAAGTAGTGAAAGATGATCCAAGTCCTTGGGTACCTATACCCACATAGTGAGCCATAAGAAACTTCTAGTCCTTAGCCATGGTGGCCATTTTGAGAGTGAGCCATCAGATGGAAGCTTTCTCAGTGTGTGTGTGTGTGTGTGTGTGTGTGTGTGTGTGTGTGTGTGTCCCCCACCCTCTCTCTTTCTGTAACCTTGCCTTTCAAATAAATGTTACACACACACACACACTGAAGGGAAGCAGATGATGGTTCAAGTACCTGAGTCCTGGCCAACCATATAGGAGACCTAAATTGAGTTCTGAGAACCTGGCGTCAGCCTGGTCTGATCCTGGCTATTGTGGGCATTTGAAGAGTAAACCAGTAGATGAGAGATTTCTCTCTCTGCCTTCCAAAAACTAAATTAAAATTTAAATAACATATGAAAATCATAAAAATAACAATGCAATAAGAGATTTCATGTCAATAGTGAGACAATAATGCATCTAGGAGCCCCTCCCCCCCTTTTTGTTAGGATTTATTTTTCATTGGAAAGGGAGATTTACAGAGAGGAGAGAGAGAAAATCTTGCATCCACTGGTTCACTCCCAAAATGGTTGCAACGACTACAGCTGAGCTAATGCAAAGCTAGGAGCCAGCAGTCCTTCCAGGTCTCCCACGTGGGTGCAGGGTCCCAAGGCTTTGGGCCGTCCTCCACTGCTTTCCCAGGCCACAGGCAGGGAGCGGGAAGTATGGGATCCCAGCACATGCAGACAGAGAATTAGTAACTGAGTCATCATGCTGGTCCTCTGGGGCATCTTTTCTGCGAGTTCCTCCCATCATGCTTCTCTGGAAGCAGGGGATGGAATGAATGGGACAGGACTACGTCCAGGGAGGGGAGAAATGGATAGAAATGGTATGCATCATGTGTTTTATCTAAGCAAAATTAATAAACAATCATGGAAATAAATTCAGTGCTGATCACAAACATGGGACCAATTAAGTGTCATTTCCTGGTCTTCAGATTTCCTCACCTGTAAAATGAGGAAAACAGTAGGCCCCACAACATTCCATTATTAAAATTAGATGAATTGGAGCTGGCACTGTGCCTCCAACCGTGAGGGAGGCATCTCTAGTTCTGGCTGCTCCACTCTGACCCAGCTCCCTGCTAATGTGCCTGGGAAAGCCGCAGACGATGGCCCAAGTCCTTGGGGTCCTGAACCCATGTAGGAGACCTGGAAGAAGCTCCTGGAGTCTTGGTTAGGACCTATCCAGATCCAGCCATTGCTGCCTTTTGAAGAGTGAGCCAGAATGTGGAAAATCTCTGTCTCTCCTTCTATATCTGTAAATCTGCCTTCCCAGTAAAAATTAGATAGATTAATACATATAAATCACTTTGTCTAGTGCGCCGTGTATTATCCAATCAACATTTAGTGGTTCTTGCTGAGATTACACATTTCACTCTCTAGCAAACATATTACAGCAGGGTACTTAATATGAAAAGATGATGGGCCCAGCGGCGTGGCCTAGCAGCTAAAGTCCTCGCCTTGAACGCCCGGGATCCCATATGGGCACAGGTTCTAATCCCGGCAGCTCCACTTCCCATCCAGCTCCCTGCTTGTGGCCTGGGAAAGCAGTCGAGGACGGCCCAAAGCTTTGGGACCCTGCATCCATGTGGAATACCCGGAAGAAGTTCCTGGTTCCCGGTTTCAGATCAGCACAGCACCAGCCGTTGCGCTCACTTGGGGAGTGAATCATCAGACGGAAGATCTTCCTCTCTGTCTTTCCCCCTCTCTGTATATCCGACTTTCCAATAAATAAATAAATCTTAAAAAAAGAAAAGATGATGACAATTACATGCTCAAGGGGGACGTAAAGTTATTCTGCCACAAGGTGTATATTTTTGTTGAAACACACAAAAAAGGATAATAACATTTTGGATATATCTCCTCATTTCATTAACACCTTAGTTCATTGTCTTATGCAAACAGTGCAAAAGACGCAGTCATTTGGTGTAGTGCTTAAGATTAAGATAGCTACTTGGAGCGCATGCATCCCATATTAGAGTGCCTGCGTTGAGGACCAGGCTGTGCTTCCAATTCCGGCTTCCTGTTAATGTGCATCCTGGGAGGCAGCAGTGATGGCTCAAGTTCTTGTACTTCTGCCCCCCCCCACGTGGGAGACACTGATTGAGTTCCCCATTGCCTGGCTTTACCTTAACTGCCCCAGCTGATGTGAGAGTTTGGGAAGTGAGTTAGCAAATGATCTCTCTCTCCCTTCCTCCCTTTTTCTCTTTCAAATTAAAAATACTACTACTAATAAAATAAACATAGCATACAAACTAAGTTTTGGGGCTGGCATGGTGGTTGAACATGGTTAGTCTCCTCCTGGCAGCCACGAGCAGCCCATATTTGAGTCTCAACTGTGCCACTTCCCATCCACCTCCCTGCTTGTGGCCTGGGAAAGCAGTTCCAGGATGGCTCAAAGCCTTGGGACCCTGCACCCACGTGGGAGACCTGGAAGAGCTCCTGGATCCTGGCTTCAGATAGGCTCAATTGCACTAATTGTGGCCATTTCAGGAGTGAACCAACAGAAGACCTGTCATTCACTGTAAATCTGCCTCCCTTCTAATAATAATAATAATAATAATAGTAATAATAACAACAACTAAAAAAAGGAGGAAACAGTTTGCTCATAAGCCAAGCCGACCTAAGCAAAACAAAACTAAGCTTTAAAATTTTTGTCAGAAAATGTCGTCCAGTTACAAGCCATTCAACTTTGTGTCCCAATCTTTTCAATTTTGTGTGCTGGCGATGTTAAGGTGAACAGTTTGAGCGACAGCTTCCTGTTCAAGGTGAAACTAAGCTTCGAACAGCCTACTTGGATCCAAACCGCAAAGCCTGTCCTGAGTTAGTATTTCTGCGCCTATAGAGACAAGCCTCCAGCCCCGTGGGGGCATGGGAACCCAACCACTCCCGGTTACACCCACACAACCGACACTTATCCTGGGAGTGTCCGGAGGCCCGCCAGTCAGTCACTCCGGAACTGAAGAGCTTTCCAAGGGTTTCGGCGTCCACGGTGATATTTTATTCTATTATTTAGTCTTGCTTGACTAAGAGCCTACTCTTGCATTATTCTTTCAAAAGTCTGTTTTTGTTTGTCTCTGTTTCTGAAAGTCGTATTTCTGATTTGTAATGAGTAATGAACTGGCTCACCCAGGTAAAAACTGTCATTCAGGAGAGGGTCCGCCCGAGGGGTGGAGTCTCAGTCCCGGGGCCGGCGCTACTGTCCCTCAGTGCGCGTGCGGGACTCCCACGCCCGGCGAAGGGCTCCTATCGATGCACTCTGCACTCGGCAGCTCTTTCTGGTAGCAGGCAGCCATCTTGTCTGGAGCCTGACAGAGGAAGAAGCGAGACCGAAGAAACGGGTGACAGTGGTCTCCAGGCCGCCCCGGGGGGCCTCAAGAGCCGGAGGCAGCCCCGGAGGTGGTCCTCGATCCTGGGCTATTCTCTTGGACCCGAGAAGGGAAGGCGGAGGGCGGCGGGGGGTCAGAAGAGCGGGGACTGTCAAACAAAAATTGCTGGGTGGGGGAAGGGGGCGTTGCTATGGCGACCCGGAGGGGCGGGGTCAGGTCTGAATCGGGGCTGTGAGCCACCTCGGGCTCTGTCTAGGCAGGGTAGTTCAGGGGTGATGACCATGGTAACAGTCGGGTGGGATTTCGTGACATGCCAGCTTCACGGGACTCCGTTTCTATGGCAACTGTCATTTGGCGGAACGGGCAGAACTAGAGCTCTTCGCCTGGGACGCTGACATTCCAGGCATTTCTCCTGCAGGCTTCCGCGGGCTGACACGCCAGAGGAGGAGACCGGGGAATGGCCGCGGTGTGGCAGCAAGTATTAGCAGTGGATGCGAGGTGAGGCGCAGGGTCGGAGCACCTGGGAGTGGCATTTACTCTGGTGCATGCGGAATAGTGATAAGTGGGAAGCTGGGAGAACTTATTCTAGTGCATGTGAAATAGTGATAAGTGAGAAGTGGCTGTGTGGGCTTGCTCGATGGAAGCTTGCCCTGTGGCAGGGTATGGGGGCATGCTCAGAAGGTAGCTGGAGAGGGTTCCCACAGCATGCTGGGAAAGTGCAATCTGATGTGGGTATGGGCAAAGCAACTAAGCCTCTGGGCGGGGAGGATGCAGCTGGGACGTCATTGCCCTGCCAGTGTTACTATTGGTACTACTCATGCTCACGTCATCACCACCTGACACTAACAACCCACTCTCCATTGCCATGGCAGTTTAACTTGCTGGTGTATACTGATTCAGTCACCCTGTCCTGACTCCAGCAGAGATTGACCTTGTACCATAAACATGAACACCCTGACCCCAGTCACACTTTTGTTCTACCTTGTCCCTTGAACTGATCAAGTCCCTGTGGTCTGTGCCTGCGGTCCACCCTGCCACCTGACCTCACAGGTACAACGCATACCGCACACCAACGTTCCCACAGTTTCGGACCCAGTATATCCGCCGGCGCAGCCAGCTGCTCCGGGAGAATGCCAAAGCTGGGCATCCCCCAGCCCTGCGTAGGCAGTACCTGAGGCTGAGGGGACAGCTGTTAGGCCAGCGCTACGGACCCCTCTCTGAGCCAGGCAGTGCCCGTGCTTACAGCAACAGCATCATCCGCAGCAGCCGCACTACCCTTGACCGCATGGAGGTGAGCTCGTTAAACACGTTGCTAGCCACGTGTCCCACATAGGTCCCATCCCACCCATGGACTTTTTAAAGATTTAGTCTGTTCATTTGATGGGCAGAAAGAGGGATAGAGACAGAAGTCTTCCGTCCATTAGTTTACTTTCCAAATGGCCGCAAGAGCTAGGGCTGGGCCAGGCTGAATGAAGCCTGGAGCCTAGAACTCCATCCCAGTTTCTCACAGTCTGCGGCAGAGGCCCAAGCACCGGGCCGTCTTCTGGGGCTTTCCCAAGTGCAATAGCAGGGACTAGATCAGAAGTGCAGCAGCTGGGACTCAAACCAGTGCTTCGTATGGGTTCCTAGTGTCATCACTGAGAGCTTAACTCATTATACCACAGTGCTGGCCCCCAGTCCGTGGACGATGTGCACAAGGCACTGTCCCAGCCCCTCAGCGCCAGTAGAGGATTGAGACAGAATACCTCCCAAAAGTCAGTATACAGCAAACATGGTAAACAGTAAATAAGAGAAGTGGGTGAATAAGTGTTAAAAGCCACATAAGCTACAATGGCTCATAGTGACATGTGTTAAGCTAGAAAACTAACGTGGACTTGGGAGATGAAAAAGAAGCAGTGCAAGAAGTAGAGGGAAGCTGTTTTCAGTGGGATGAGGAGGGACGATGGCCTAGAGGAGGTGACAGTTGAAACTTGAGTGAGGTACAACAGAGGCCAGTGGCTTTCCCAGGAGAACATGTTCTTTCTGTGTTCAGAATATTGATCTGCCCAGCAGGGAAAGTGGTAAGAGAGGCACCACAGGAAGGCAGGGGAGGTGATAGGGCATGTGGGTAAGAAGGGACCAGGTTGTAGCTATTTGGAAAGCTCCAGAACTCAGGTGTTGGAGATGAGCCCATCCTTGACCTATCCCTTTGCAGGACTTTGAGGATGACCCCCGGGCCCTGGGAGCCCGCGGGCACCGCCGCTCCGTCAGTCGTGGCTCCTACCAGTTACAGGCACAGATGAACCGTGCTACCTATGAGGACAGGTAGGCCCCGGAGGCAGCTGAGGGCCAGGCTGGCGGGACGAGCCGGGGAGGGGGGTGTTGAGTGGGGAGGGTGTTGTGGAGAAGACAGGGACCCTGAAAGAGTGGTAGGCCTAACGTACTTCCTTCCTGTCACTGTCCACTTCCTCCTGGGGCCCAGGCCCCCTGGCAGTGTGGTACCCACATCAGCAGCAGAAGCCAGTCGGGCCATGGCTGGGGACACGTCACTGAGTGAGAACTACGCCTTTGCTGGCATGTACCATGTTTTTGACCAGCACGTGGATGAGGCAGGTAAGCTGGGGAGGGCGGGCAGGGCATTACTGTGCAGCTACCCAAACCGTGACCACCACTCAATGCATTCTTTTCCAGAATGCAAGCCCCTGGCGCCCCTCCGAGGCAGGCAGTAGCATCTGTAGAGCCTTTTTGCAGCCCTCTGCGGAAGTGGCCTCCAGGGCCCGAGTGCTTGGTTGTGCACCATAAAGGGCCCGAGGAGTGCACAGAGCACTGTGGCCACAGGCTGACGGGGTTCCTGAAGCGCTGGGAAGAGTTCAAAGCTGTGCTGATGAGCAGTGCCCCCTCAGAGGAGGGCAGAAGGGGATCCGGAGAAGCATGGGTCTTTGCAGGCTGTCGAGGCCCTGGTGATTGTCAGGGGCTTGTGAAGACAGAGGGACTTGCACACGTGGCACGTGGCTTTTGCAATCTGCGAAGTACCTGCTGAGGTTGGAGGGAGCTTTCGGGAGAGGACCCTGTGGGGCAGCAGTTCCCTGTGCCAACCAAGGAAGGTATCTTGCTGAGGCTACTGTGCTTGTGCAGGGAGAGCACAGCCCCGCCCCCTGCACAGCCACAGAGCATGTTAGAGATGCAAAGTATCCAGTGAGTGTGCTGACTGCCACAACTGCTCCTTGACATTGCAGTCCCAAGGGTGCGCTTCGCCAACGACGACCGACACCGACTGGCCTGCTGCTCACTGGACGGCAGCATCTCCCTGTGCCAGCTGGTACCCGCCCCACCCACCGTGCTCCGTGTGCTGCGGGGCCATACCCGCGGGGTCTCCGACTTTGCCTGGTCCCTCTCCAATGACATCCTTGTGTCCACCTCACTCGATGCCACCATGCGCATCTGGGCCTCTGAGGATGGTCGCTGCATCCGGGAAATCCCTGACCCCGATGGCGCTGAACTGCTCTGCTGCACCTTCCAGCCCGTCAACAACAACCTCACTGTGGTCAGGCTCTAGGGCGCCCGTTCACCCCAGGGCAGCGGAGACTAAGGGGGGATGGCCTGGGGAATCTAGAAAGCTTCCCCCACACACACACCCATTCCTGCCACGCAGGTCCAGCCCGCTGTGGGCAGAGGGGAGGGAAACAGGCCAAGATGGTGTGGGGATGGGGAGATCAAGTGTTGGTTTGGGATGACCTTGCCTTGGGAGACTCCAGGGAGGGGGGCAGGGACCCCTTTGGCCCCTCTGGCTGTAGTCCTATAGTGTTGGCCAAGCAGGGGCTTATCCTGGGGAGCATGGTGCAAAGGCTGGCACATCATCTAGTGCACCAGCCCCAAGTCCCATTGTGGTCCAGTTGCAGGACAGACGGCTCGGAGAGCTGGGGAGGAAAATGCAGGGTGTGCTCGCCTTTCTTGAGGCGGGCGTGCTGATGCATAGGGGGACCAACTACAGGCAAGCTGCTGCTCACAGGGCCATGGGCTGGGCAACACTTGAATGGAAGGGCTTTTCCATTCTTTTCCAACTGTAAGGCCACCAACCAAGAGGCAGCATGATGGCTCCGAGGCCCCTTTGTGACATAAGCCACTGTCCCCAGAGGGGCTGGCTAGGGAGAAATGAATGCCTCAGTCACCTTCTGGTCTACGTGCCACATGCCCACTGTGATTAAATTCTAGTAGAGAGCTACCAGTGCCACCTGCCAGAGCACCACTATGATCAGACTCAGGGAGGGACTGGCTGGGAGCAGGATGATGGGCTGTTGTGTTCCATCCACAGGTGGGGAATGCCAAGCACAATGTGCATGTTGTGAACATCTCCACGGGCAAGAAAGTGAAGGGTGGCTCCAGCAAGCTGACAGGCCGCGTCCTCGCTCTGTCCTTTGATGCCCCTGGCCGGCTGCTCTGGGCGGGTGATGACCGTGGCAGCGTCTTCTCTTTCCTCTTCGACATGGCCACAGGTAGGCGGACAACAGGCCTGCGCCTTGACACACTTTGCTGCTCGCCCCTGCCCACGCTCTCAGAGCACAGCGGTGGCCCTTCCCTTTGCCTTTTCTTCTCTTCCCTTTCAGGGAAGCTGACCAAGGCCAAGCGACTGGTGGTGCATGAGGGCAGCCCCGTGACCAGCATCTCCGCCCGCTCCTGGGTCAGCCGTGAGGCCCGTGACCCCTCGTTGCTCATCAACACTTGCCTCAACAAGCTGCTGCTCTACAGGTGTGTCCCTGTCAGCCACCATGTGGTAGAGGCCCACCTCCTCCATCAGACTAGGACAAGAGCCTGCCTCCTGCAGCACAGGCATTTCGCCGAGGCTATATGCCCAGTCCCCTCTTCACATGACAATGAGGATTACGTGTCATTAGTAGCAGTAGTCCTAGCAGTAGCAAGCACCTGTACAGCAGTTGCTATGCTATGGCCAGGCCCTCCCCCCCTTTTTTAAATAAAGATTTATTTATTTTTATTGGAAAGGCAGAGTTACAGAGAGAAGGAGATACAGAAAGAGCTTCTGTCCGCTAGTTCACTCCAGGTGGCCACAGTGGCTGGAGCTGAGCTGATCCGAAGTCAGGAGCCAAGAGCTTCTGCCAGGTCTCCCACACAGGTGCAGGGTTCTAGGGCTTTGGGCCATCCTCGACTGATTTCCTTGGCCACAAGCAGGGAGCTGGATGGGAAGTGGAGCAGCCAGGACACGGACCAACACCCATATGGGATCCCTGTGTATGCAGGGCGAGGATTTACCTACTGAGCCAACACACCAGGCCCTTTTTAAGCACTTTCTCATATCACCTTATTGCATCCTTATAACAACCAATTGTACATATTGCTACCAGCTCCCTTATATAATTAAGCAAACAGGCATAGATTAGCCAATAATCCCCTTGAGGCTCAGACCCAGTTTCCTTCCTTCATTTATTTCCTTCCTCCCTCCATCCCTTCCATCCAACCTTCCTTTTTTCCTTCCCTTCTCCCTCGTTCTTTTCTCCTTCCCTCCCTTCTTTTCTCTCTTCCTCTTTCCCTTCTACTCCCTTTCCCGCCCCTCCTTTGTTCTCCCTGTTTTGGTTTTCTTTGCGGGAGGAGGTGTGGCTTACTTTCAGGACTCACACCTGCTTCTTACCACATGAAGGCCTCAGGTCGAGCCACACAGTGGAATGACATGGAACAATTTCACAAACCCATGTGCTGGCCCTACTGAGGGCCAGCAATTTTGAAATTCTGGGGTGGAAAGTTCCTGCCTGGCTTGAAAAACCACTGCCCAGAAGGTTACAGCTCACTATACCTTGTTCCTTTGGTTCTCCTTTTCCAAATGTAACCATCCATCTGTCTGCTTTGTCAATTTAAGCATGCTTGCTTCCCACAGGCTGCGGTCTTGTATCTAAGGAGAGGGAGACCTCCCGCACATACACATCAGCTCAATGGCCTTGTGCTTGGCCCGTATGTGGATGGGGAAGGGGAGGTATGGTGAAGAAAAAAAAAAGAAAAGCAATCTAATAAAATTTGAGTCCTTGGTCCTTGCCCACTCCTCCCCACAATCCCCGCCATGCCCCATTCTTCCCTCCCACCACAGGGGATTCTGCCTTCCAGCCTTTGTCATGCTGTGGAGGGAGGGAAGCCTTGGCCCAGCTGCCTGGAACCATAGCACCAGGGCCTTGTTACAGTGAACACAACTGTGCTGTGTTCAGCTCTTTCATTCACCCTGCAGATCAGCCCCACTCTGCAGAGGCTCCCATGGGTGTCTCAGAACCTGCATACACTCATCCAGGTACCCACACATAGAGGTTTAAGCCCTCATCTCCACACACTGCATTTGATGAGCAAGGCAGAGAACTCAAGCACTCCGGTGGGGATACAGGCATGCTCAATACTGGGCCCGCTTCTGGGGCTGAGGCCACGAGCCCTGACCGCCACTCTGTCTGTCATCCTGCAGGGTGGTGGACAACGAGGGGACCCTACAGCTGAAGAGGAGCTTCCCCATTGAGCAGAGTTCCCACCCTGTGCGCAGTATCTTCTGCCCACTCATGTCCTTTCGTCAGGGAGCCTGTGTGGGTGAGTATGCAGGACAGAGAGTGGGTGGTGCTGGGCAGCGGGGGACAAGCAGGGACCAGGACTGGTAGCAACCTTGATGATGCCCTTTTCCACCTGGGCTTCAAAGACAGCCTCCTGCTGGGGACTCATAAACCTCACAGGGAGCAGTGTGAGAGCTCAGCTCGGAGACCTCACATACCCTGGGCCTAGAGAAGCCATGCTGGGGCTTGGCACCTCAGCTGCCTCAGGGACTACCCCACCCCCGGCCCCAGGGAACTCCAGTGCTTCCTGACAGCCTCTCCTTCTCACCCGGACAGTGACGGGCAGTGAGGACATGTGCGTGCACTTCTTTGACGTGGAACGGGCGGCCAAGGCTGCCGTCAACAAGCTTCAGGGCCACAGCGCGCCCGTGCTTGACGTCAGCTTCAACTGCGACGAGAGCCTGCTGGCCTCCAGTGATGCCAGGGGCATGGTCATCGTCTGGAGGCGGGAGCAGAAGTAGGGTTGTGCTCGGCCCTGCTCCTGTCCCCGCCACCAGCTTTGTGTTGTGAATAAAGTGTCTGTGGTGGTGGTGAGGACCAGCTCCCGGGTGTCCCGGGAGGCAGCACTGCAGAGCCCACAGCTCCAGGAGCCAAGGGGAATGGGGTCCATCGTCTGATTCATGTCTTCCCACGGTGATGTGTCCATTCATCCATTCAACAAGCACTTAGCAAATGTCCACTGTGTCCCAGAGCTTCTCCACAGCTGTGTGTTCTGCAAGCACTGCCGAACACCGAAACGGTGTGCCAGGAAGCCTTCTGGGTAGTGGCGATGTGGTGGGATCTGCAGCCCCGTGGAGACAACAGCAGACAGAATTACAGTAACATCAGCATTTTTTTTTTTTTACTTTATGATGGTATGAAAGTGTCCCCATGCAGCCATTCTGTTCCTCAGTTTCAATACAGTATTCGACACATGCCTGAGCTACTCAGCACTTTTATATTATATTCAAATAGGCCACGGTAGAGGATTCTGCCCATCTGTGGGCTCCTCAAGTGTTCTCAGTGTGCATGAGCTTGGTGCAATCAAGCCAGCGGGTGGTGGGGATTAAATGGAGCTTTACGCTATTGTCAGCTCCCTGTGGGTCCATCAGGACACAGCCTCTCCAGGGGACAGGAGAAGCCGAATGGAGCAGGTCAGCTAAAGGTGAGTGGTGTCAGCACAAGGTGGACTGAGGAGACAGGCTGGCAACAGTAGTATGGGTAGTGGGTGATGACCTCAGGGAAACCTGTCCTGACAGGCTGACATTTAAACAAAGACCTGAATGAAGTGAGAGGCAGCCACAGTGTGTGAGGAAGAACATTCTAGACAGAGGGGCTGAGTCAGTGGGGCTGGAGAGTGTCCACAGTGTGGTCGTGGAAGCCAGAGTGTGATGGTGAGGTTAGATGGGCCAGATGCCGCAGGGCTTCGAGGGCCACCACCAACACTTTGGCTTTCAGTTTCTTGAGTAGAGGAGACTTCACTAAGCAGCTTTGAGCAGAGATGGGATGGGATGGGATCTGGTTCCAGCAGGCTCCCTCTGGCTGCTGTGAAGACAGGGCACAGCAGTCCCGGGTGGTAGCAGGGGCCAGTGAGGAGACCACAGGGAGAGGCACGATGGAGCCTGCCGGGAGGTGGTGGCAAGGAGAGGACTGGGGGTGTAGGGGTGGGGGCACACTCAGTTCTACTCCAAGGCTTTCATCATTGGGCTGCAGGATCCTGCTGGTTCTCAGGATGGGCTGGCTGAGGCTCCCAAATTCCCTGCATGCTTGACAGCTCAAGCCAAGGCCCCACAGCTGTCCGCCCACGAGCAGGGAGCAGAGGCATTGAGTTTTTGGAACCCCATATCAGTGCAGGGACAAGCATGTTGGTTTATCGCACAGGTGAACTGGGGAATCCCTCTATGGGATTCAGATGATGGGGAAACTCTCCGTGCGCAGAAAAACCCTGAGACCAGCCTCATCACCTCCCATGGCCACCCAAGGCCCAAAGGCCAGCCTTGGAGCAACTCTGATCAAAAAGTGGTGTTCAGTATGAGGGGACTTCAAAAAAGTTCAGGGAAAATGGATTTACAGAGTAAGTTTATTTTGTTGCAGAGATATTCTCAAATTCATGCATAGTTCTTTCATATGAGCATTTCCAGCAAACTTTTTTTTAGAAAGATTTATTTCTTTTTATTGGAAAGCCAGATTTATAGAGAGAAGGAGGGACAGAAAGATCTTCCATCTGCTAAAGCCAGGGACCTCTTACAGGTCTCGCACATGGGTGCAGGGTCCCAAGGCTTTGGGCCATCCTCTGCTGCTTTCCCAGACTACAAGCAGGGAGCTGGATGGGAGGTGGAACGGCTGGGATATGAACTGGTGCCCATATGGGATCTTGGTATTTAAAGGAATTGGGGGTTAGCCAGTTTAGTTATTGCGCCATGCACAAATTCTTTAATTAAAAGATTTCAAAATATTTTTGCACCAAAATAAACTTCCCTTTAAAATATATCTTTGAAAGACAGAGAAAGAGGGAGAGGAAAAGACAGATCTATCTACTGGTTCACTTCCCAAATGGCTACAATAGCCTGGTCTAGGCCAGGCCAAAGCCAGCCGCCTGGAACCCCATACTAGTCTTCCAGATGAGTGGCAAGGTCCCCATGCACTTGGGCCATCTTCCACTGCCTTGCCAGGCCAAATTAGCAGGGAACTGGATTAGAATTGGAGCATCTATAACTTGAGCCAGTGCTGCGATACAGGATGCTGGGGCTGGTGTTGCAAGCAGCAGCTTAACATGCTGTGCTTTAGTGTCATTCCCAAACTTATCTTTTAATTACATTTTTATGAACTTTTTAAAAAAGTACCCTCATACCTGAAGAAAGACCCTAGTGAAGAGAGGACATTTGGGTGTTGATAGGGATAAGTAACTGAAGTCCCTTGTCAGTGGCCTAAGTTACTAGAATGCCAGAGACTCTCACTGCAGCTGCTTGCTTCCCTCCAGCTGCATGTGCTGCAGCATGTACAGCAATTGGTATTATGGCTAACTAATACCTGTGACCGTCCAAGGTCATTCCCTAGAGACCCCAGTCTGGCCTAACATTATTAAGCTATTGAACTAACACCTGCAGTTTTGCTAAGGAAAGAAAATAATCTGTCTAATCCACTGTTATTTGGGAGAGTGGTTACTTGCAGCCAAAAGTGTTTCTAGAACTTGTTCTTCCATCTGACAGATCTAGAGTAAATGGTGATGAGTTAGGGATATCCATGAGCTGGAGTCTTCATGTGATCTCACACTCATGTATGCATGCATGTTAGAGGCTCCTAGCCCAGCCCTGCGCTGAGCGACTAGGACTCCTAAGACTTAAAGTGTGGTTGTGTTTATGGTTATGACTTACTACACCAGAAAGATGATAGAATAAAATTAGCAAAGGGAGATCATGTACAGGACCAAGGTCAGGGGAGAGCAGGCATGTTTTTTTGTTTGTTTGTTTTCAGGCTGAAGTTTCAAGGGACCATAATGGGTTGCAACAACACATGTGAAATATTGTCAACTAGAGGCTCAGTGCGCAGGTTTTGTTTGTTTGTTTGTTTTGTTTAAGGGGGATTGTTCATGTCGACACCCTGAGCCTGGCATGTACCCAGGTTCCAGACTACCAGAAAAGAAAGGTGACATTTGTCATGAGTCACATTGTTTGTACAGCTTAGCCATAATGAGTAGTCTTCTTATTTGGACATGATGGAAACCTTCCTGAAGTCTAAGTTCCCAATCACCAGCCAAGAGTCAACCTGATGCAAGCCTTCCCACAGATAGCAATCCAGCTCTTCCATGTTAACTCTTCAACAGAAGAGGTTTATTTGGATCATAGTTCTGGAGGCTAGCACCTGGCAGGGGTCTTCTTGTATCATAACATGTATAGTTGCATAACATGGTTGCATCATACAACAAGAGAACATAGAAGAAGCAAGCATGCAGGAAGAGGGGGGACTCATCTTTTTAGCAAGAACCCACTCCCCTGATAATGGCATTAGTCCATTCATGAGGTAAAGCCCGCAACCTAATTACCTCTTAAAGGCTCCACGTCTTTATACTGTTACAATAGGGATCACGTTTTGAGGACACATTCAAATCCTAACAGTATGCAACACAGAATGGACACTGAATTTTAAGCCTGATGTACAGATGGCAAGATAACTTGCTGTGTGTCAGGGGGTGGGGAGGGCAGGGGCTCATTTTTCTCAACACTTTCTTTTCTCCACACTCTTCATGTTCTTTATTGAGCCTGATTAAAGATGATTGAGCATGAATATTGTGCATGATTTTGGGGGTTTTCTTGTGAAAATATTGAGGTGGCAGAGTGATATTCTATTTTAAATTCATTTTGGTGACACCTTTCTTGACTTACAACCTAAGAATAAATAAATACTGAGTAAATAAAAAATAAACAAAATAATGTTGTCAGTTAAACTTGAGCCTCTCTTAACTTGTCCATCACCTGTCACTGTGCCTTTGCTTTGAAATCAGATCTAGAGCTCTGGTAACCACCCCCATCATCAGTGCCAGTCTAGTCTTGCCTCAAATCCATGCCTCCATTAAGTGTTTCATGCACTCTGTCTGACTGTGCATTTCCTTAATTATTTTACCATCAAGAGCCTCACTGGTCTATGTTTGAAACTGGGGCTCTTGTTAATTACTACCCAATCAATGCAGTGCTGATCAAATCAGTATATTATTCTACCAGTAACTATGATATGTTCTTGAACTTGAACTTGGGCTTCTGTTCACTGTTTTGCAATCAATGCTCTTTGTGTTCCATTCTAACCTTGAGTGACCTTAATCTTAACCTTATCTCTGTACCTCTGTTATTTTACCATCAATATCCTTTTGGCACACTATAGCCATATTCCAGTGGTACCACTAATGTCTTTGTGGGCCAAATTTAAGCCCAGGCCTCTCTTGACTGATTTACCACCACTTCTTTTTATTTTATTTATTTAAAAAAATTGTTTATTTTATTTTTAATGTTGTTCACATAGCTGAGAAGGATATGTACGCCACTGATTAGGATGGGGAGGGTTGAAGTATGGAGGAAGGAGGGTGGGACAAATATTTCCAGCTTTTTTTTTCTTTTTCTCCTGTATCTGGGGGAGTTGGGGGAGGAGGAAGGGAGGAGGCCACTCCTTGCTGCCAAACTGCATCAGCACCTGGGGATGGACAATCATCATTTGATGTCATCTTAGAGATTGAGTTTTCCAAGGATGTTATTTGAATGGTTTTGATAATTCTGGAAAGTTGTTGGTTTCATTGCTCTAGGGTTGAGAAAAATCTTTCCAAGGTCTGTTGGTTGACAGAGTCCACCTTAGGGCATCCACAGACCCAGGAACATGCTGCAAAGCTTGACCAGGAGAATTGTCTGTCTTGTTCTGCTTTCCATTCTCTAATGAGACAGTTCATGTCCCCTTCTGACTAGATGAGCTGGCCATCATGTCCCCTGTGTGCATCTGGGCATGTTGTCCACTGCACAGGCATCAGCAACTGAGGAGGCCCAGTCTTGATACATGCACTACAAGGTCAGACCACACATCCTGTGATTTTCTCTGTGGCCAGGATCTGAATCCAGCAGTCTACCTGGGGAGTCCCCAAGAAACCTCACCTGGAGTGAGCTTAGACTTGACTCTTGTGTGCATCAGCCAGTGCAGGGTCAGGGTCAGATTCTGTCTGTCACCTGCACCAGCCAATGCACATACACTGGTGGATGCACCTGCCTGGTCAGCTCTTCCCCAGTCCCATATCTTACCAACAGGTGCTGTGACCCAGCCTAGTCAGCCTGCCACAGACCCAGTCCTCACACATATCAGCAGATGTCGTAGCCTAGTTAGAGCAACCCCCAATAACTCCCACCAAGCCTGACCCCAGCCCCAGTTTTTGTATGTGTCAACCTCTGTTGTGGCCTAGCCCAGCCAAGCCTGCATTCTATCCAGCTTTTGTACACATGAGATCTCAAGATTTTACGGACACTTGGCCAGCAGAGTATACTGTGGCCCTGTCCGACTGGCCCACACCCATTCTGGCTCTCACCAGCAGGAGCTGTAGCCCAGCCTTGCCTGGCCCACCCCCAGACATGGCTGTCATGTGGACTGGCAGGTGCTGCAACCTAGCCTAACACATCCCATACTCACTCTGGCTCTTGCAAGCACCAGTGAGTGCTAGGGCCTAGCCCACAAGGAAGTCAAGGGGCGCTGCAGCATGTTCAGCCCAGTCCACCCCCAGCCCTGGGCTTCGCATTCATCAGTGAGAACTACAGCCTAGCAGATGAGTCTCCTTAGTTCATCTACCAGGCCTGCTTCCAGCTGGATCTTGCGCGTGCTAGTGGTGCCTCAACCCAGCCTGATCCAGCCTGTCCCCAGTCCCAGCTCTTGCCTGTGAGTGCTGCAGCCTAGCTCCCCCTGCCCCCAGCTTGCCCCAGTTCATTGCTGTCCTGTGAACCAGCATGCGAAGTAGCCTAGCTTAGTCTAGCCTGGCACAGTCCACACCCCAAGCTGGATCCCACATGTGCTAGCAGGTGTTAAGACTTGGTCCAGCCCAGCCTGGCCTGCTCCTGCTCCCATCACCACTACCAAAGTCAGCTCACACACATGCTGACAAGTGTCTAGCCAAGCTGAACCCAGGAGCCAGAAGCTTCTTCCACGTCTTCCATATGGATAGCAGGGGCCCCAATACTTAGGCCATCTTCTGCTTTTCCCAGAAGAAAAATGGATCAAAAGGAGCAGCTAGAACACAAACCAGTGCCAATGGGATGCTGGTGTTGCAGGTGGCAGCTTTGGCTGCTGTGCCACAATGCTCACCCCTACCTGTTTCCCTATTAAGCACTATAGCATAAATGTTCTTCTGGCCTGCTGTCTTATATGTATTCTACCTTCAGTGCCAGCCTGCTTCCTAAGCAAAGCTCTTCTACTATCCTTGCTTTCTTGTCTGTCCCACTCAGCTGGGACTTCTCTACCATACTGAAAGATGTACTAATCTGGCTAGCTAACACGGCCATTTAAACTATTCCAAATTCCTTCCACTCAAACTGTCCTCAAGCCAGGCCAACCAGTTAAACATACTACCATTGACTCTCCTCTGATTTTTCCTCAAACCTGATCCTCTGATAGTTG